CTTGTTGGGCAGCAGCCATAGCGGCTAGATCAATGTTGGTGCCAGGCGATAAGCTGATCTGCTGAATGCGTGAAAGCGCATCCGCGACGGGATTGAGAGCACCTGAGACATGACGTACGTCTGTCGTAAACTGAGAAACGTAGTCTAGGTGTCTAGTTTCCCGCGGCGAGTACTTGTCTGTTGCGCCATTGATTGCGTAGATCAATGGCTTGTGGTCGGTGAAGACGGTGAAATGTCGACCTTCGAGGTAGTGACGGAAATGTCGGATACCTAGGTAGATAGCTAACAGTTCCCTACCGAAGGTGCTGTATCGCGATTCGGCAGGTTGTAAGCGCTTTGAGAAGAAACCTAGAGGTATCCATCGATGGTCGATGAGTTGCTGAAGAACTGCACCGACGGCAGTGTCTGATGCGTCAGTTGTCAGAGAGAGTGATGCAGACGTGTCTGGATGGGCGAGAAGCGCTATGTTGGAGATAGCGTCTTTAAGCTTCTCGAAAGACAATTTAGCGTCGTCTGTAAAGTGAAAAGAGCGTTGTTTACCGCGGAGCAAGTCAGTCATTGGTTGAACAATGCTCGCGCAGTTAGGTATAAAGCGTCTGTAATAGTTGACCAGGCCAAGGAATCGGCGTAACTGCTTGAAGGAACTGGGAGCAGGATAGTCCTTCAGTGCCTGGATTTTGTCTGGCAGGGCTTCAATACCAGAGGCAGATATGCGGTGGCCAAGAAAGTCGATGGAACTTTGGCCAAGCTCGCATTTATCGGGGTTGACGGTAACCCCATGCTGCGTTAAGCGTTGGAAGAGTGCGTCGAGGTGACGAAGATGTTCTTCATCAGAAGAGCTGGCGATGAGAATGTCATCTAAATAAGGGTAAACGCCTTCGAGTCCTCGCGTTACCTCATGAATGAAACGCTGAAAAGTTTGGGCAGCGTTGCTGAGGCCGAAAGGCATTCTGAGGTACTCGAATAGGCCGAATGGCGTAATGACTGCAGTTTTAGCAATGTCGTCTGGCGCCACAGGTATCTGATGATAGGCGCGAACTAAGTCGACTTTGCTGAAGATAGACTTGCCAGCTAGAGCTGAGGTCAAGTCGTGCATGTGCGGAATAGGGTATTTATCCGGGACGGTAACTTTGTTAAGTGCCCTGTAGTCACCACAAGGGGCGCCAGTCACCGGATTTCTTCGGCACCATGTGTAATGGTGATGCCCATGGACTTTTAGACGGGCGGATGATTCCCAGTTCGAGCATTTGCTCGAATTCCGCCTTAGCAGCTTTGAGCTTGTCCGGGGCTAGTCGGCGAGGGCGGGCCGAAACAGGTGGGCCCTTAGTGCAAATGTGATGCACGACGTTTGACGTCACAGGAGGCAAGTCGTTCAGGACGCGAACGAGTTTAGGGTGCTTGCTGAAAAGCTCTAGAAAAGGCTGTGAAGCTTGAGGTAGGACACGAATGGGAGTGATAGCAGCCACGTTGGCGCTAGTCCCGATAACACTGAGCTGTGTCCTAGAGTCGATAAGCTTCTTCCTTTTAGCGTCGACGATGAGATCGAAGCGTTGAAGAAAGTCTATGCCTATGATGGCGAAAGGCACAGCAGCGATTATGAAAGGCCAGCGAAAGGTTCGCCGGAGGCCTAAATTGAGCGTTAGCAGCTTTTCGCCGAAAGTTGCGATTGGTGTGCCATTGGCGGCACGCAGCTTGGTCGGCGATGGTGAGACGACCTCATGTGGGCCACGGGGTATAACGCTAACTTCGGCTCCAGTGTCGATTAGAAACTCGGTGCCGGAAGTTAAATCCCTAACGCGGATGAGGCGACTTTGGTGTTGGCCAGGCGCGTCCGTCGCCGTTACGGACCGGCCGAGGTTTCCCTGCTTCTTGGCGAAGCTGCAAGGTTTGATACATTTACGAGCTGCAGTACCAAAACGCTGGTGGTACCAACAGCTAGCTTGCCTGTTGTTAGAGTTAGAAAGTTTGCAGGGCGATTTTGATCGGCTATGACGACGACGGTCCATAGTAAGCTGCTGGACCTGGCGACTAAGTGTCGCGACTTGTGTTTGCAGGGCTTCTATAGTTGACTGTAAGCCAGTGATAGAAGTGCCCTGGGACGCGACGGCATTCATCTTGCTGGCGTCGACTTGTGGCTGTGATCGTTCAATAACTCGATCTGCTAAATCTGCTAGTTGAGTGAGCGGAACGGAGCTCACTGTAGCGAGAATCGCTTGTGTGTTTTCCGGTAGCCGCTGTAGCCATAGTTCGCGAAGTAAAGTCTCATCCATGGTTGAAGAACCAAGGAGTTGCTGCATCTCTCGTAGCAGGGTTGAGGGCAGTTTGTCGCCCAGTTGCAGATCCCTGAAAAGCTGCTGCAGGCGAACTTTCTCAGAGGGCATAACACGCTTAATCGTGGCCTCCTTGAGAGCCTCATAGCGGTTTTCGGTCTGAGAAATGATGACGTCACGAACCTGCATTGATATCTCCTTGGGGAGATAGGACAGGAGCTTGCAATACTTCGCGTAGTCGGAAGTGATTCTGTGGTTATAAAACTCAGCCTCAAGATGAGCGAACCACAAAACAGGATCCATGTCCCAAAAAGGTGGAACTGAGAGAGATACAACACTAAGCATAGACTCTACCTTATGGTCTACAGATTCCATGATTTGAAAAAATGACGCGAAGAAATAGGCTACCGTATGCAAAAATAAAACCGAAAAATATGAAAAATAAATGGAACGAGCTCACCAGAGAAAAGTTCCAAATATCCGGCGCTGGGATTGTTCCGGATTCGGGGTCACCAATTTAGAGGGTTGCCTATTCCGGGAGCCCAGAGAGCGATTCCAGAAGACAGATCGAGTTGCAGGGAAACTTTTATTGGTTCAGCAAAAGATTCCCTGTTAGCTAGCTATAAACGAACGACACCGTGGACGCTCTAGCTAGGGGAACGGATCAAGCACAGCACACAGAGCAGTCGCGCGTTGCAACCGAAGCGAGCGCCAAGCAAAAATGGCGATGAGCAAGTAAAGCATTCGAACTCAGCAAGCAGTTCAACAAACCACACCGGTTGCCTAAGTGTACAATTATAGAATTTTGGTTAGAATTTTACACAAGCAAACCGGGGAATCTCCAGACTGCTACAGCAGGTTCGAGGTAAAGACGAGTACTCCGGACTGTAAACGTATATATCAAGCTTAGCTCAACGACCGATTCGTAAGTGAATTTACGACGAAGATGCTCTGGCGAGCGTATGAACAGGACTACCACGAGTGTATTCAGCAGCAGGAAAAGAGCAAAAGTCTCAACCGGTAGAAGCGTACAAAAACAAGTGGCTCCATTAAATATAGACGCAGTAATGGGTTTGCGTTTGGTTTATCATGAATGTGTTACACATTGAGATAGAAAAGGAAATAAAACAGGCTCGAACAATAATGTGTAGTTTAAACGAATCGGTGCGCTTTCATTTCTGTTACACACGCTTCTTTGATATTTCCGCAGTTAGCTTGGAAAAAGACCAAACAGTTTGAACAAGCAATCCCTATTTCGACCACCTTGTTGCACGTTCCACAGGTACCTTTTCTGCACAGCCGGTCGGATACTAGTGCTCACCAGGTCACGTAAACGTGTTTACGGTTAGTCCAACGCTGGAACCTGGATTATTTTTTCAGCACCAATGTCGGTTAGCCGTGACAGATGACTGTCTCACCGCTTCTCACCCTCGCGGTCGCGCGCAGATGGCTTGCGATCGGTCGTCTTGCGGTTGCACGCACACACACACACACAAGCGGTGGCGTGTTCGATCAGCTTGCATTATGCGACCATGCAAGCGACGCACTGACAGGCATTCCTAATTGTCTGGGAAACGACGTTTAGAAGACGAGCGACACAAAATGAACCATAGCTTTGTTATACTACAGCTTGCAGGGATGCTTGCAGGGTCACTTGAGAGTCATCAACCTCTTCTTCCGAATGAGACCAAAATGTTTCCGGATAAGCTCAGATTTGATGTAAATGAACACATAGAACTCGACAAAGCATGTGCCAAAACCGAGCACTATAGCAAGGCTATGATATGCACTAGTTAGATCCAAGAGGAGGAAAGCTCTGAGTAGTGTTCGTCGAACAGGTTCAAACGAGTGCACGCTAATTGTGTTAGAAGAATTGGAATGGCCACAGCGGCCGAAGCAGGAGCAGAGTTAGAGTGCGGCCGTATGGCGAAAGTTCCATTTACTGATCAGGACTTCGTTTTGTTAACTACCTTTTCTCAACCAAATGCAATCATAGCGCTTTCAACTTCCTAATAAGGGAAAGCTGTTCCTCCGTAGATCTCTTGAGATGCTCTTATCGCCAATGAGTTGCCTCCAAAAGACTCGAAGGCGCCTAAATGCTACCGGTCATTTGATGATTAATTTGGAGTTGGTCACTCAAAAAGCATACATTTTTAAGAGTGTCTGCATTCACTGAATGCAACTTGATGGCGTTCATGATCATCTTGAGAGATTTATGAAGGAATATGATTTCTTTAAGGGGGAGTTCGAAATCTCTATGGACATAAATAGGTAACAAAAGGTACAGACCTCCACAATTCCCATCTCTGAGACACCACTCGAAGTGGAGCATTCTGGATGTTTCTGGCTTTCAGTAGTACCCAATAAGGCTGGTATCGACCCCTTGTGCTCTCATCCGGTACAGAGAGCCGGAGTTGGAAGTGGCACGCGGTACGTAATGATTGACGGCTGATGCTTTGACCAATAGGGCACTACATTCAGTTAGAAACAAACCTGTCTTTAGTTTTAAATTACCTATTTTGCAGATCTATCGCTTTGTCATAAGTTTATTAGCGTTCTTGAGTTCCACTCAACCGCACATTGAAAGCTGCAAGCTTTTCCAACATATCACCCTCTTTGAATAACAACTTATCGTCAGTGCTTTGTCTCCTAATTTATAGATGAGTGCACCAGAATTTTGAGTCGTCGACTGTCAAACTCATCTTGAAGAGTGAAAGTCTATTTCTCAGAATGGGCAACAGCTGGATTGTTACTTTGGCCCTGGCACAACTGAATATGTTTGTTTTATCAATGAACCTGTCAGATGAACGTCTGTCCCCATTCTGGGTATATTTGAGTAAGTAAACATGTTACTTTTCAGCCGAATACTTATTCCTAAGGACATCGACTGGTGAGCGGAAGAAACAAAACAGAAACAGGTCCAGCTATGGAACTGCGCTTAAACAAGATCTACAAAATAGGAGAGGAGAGGATATTCAAAGAACATGGAGCATCCAGTGCATCATTCGCAGGCTACAGGGTGGTTGTAAGTGACACTGAATATCAGCTCATATAACTTAATGTGATTTGTTTCACGTGGTTGGTGGCCAGTGATTAGAATGTTGAGATGTATGCGATGTGAATTTGAGGATACGAACCACATGAAATTTAGCATGGTATTCAAAATACGCATTGGCACATGGAACATGCGATTTACTTTCATGCTTCCTGACGAACGAACCGGTTTCTAGCTTAGTACAGTCCAACACGCTATGGCGATAACCAGCCAAAAACATCCCCAACGTTTTCTCCTATGAGTAATGTCCCTATGTGTGAACCTGTCCATGGCGACTACCTGTTCAAGGTGACCACTTTTTGTCGGTCCCTTGAGTGATCCCCTTAGACATGTTCGACTGTATTTAGAAACTTCAAGGCTGGTTGTTGCAAATAGCCCTGCAATACATTCGGGGCAAAGTTGTGAAATTATGCATCCTCAAAGGCGGTGGAAATTCGTACGATGAGGCAGTTCTCGAGTATCCAGTTTGAAGTCTAATGCAAACTCTGAAACGGTTGATGTAGCAAACCAACGGGAGCATAGTTATACGAGGAACATCCCCATATACTCGCTCAAACGGGTTGGTTGCTCTGTACTGATCTAAGAAGTAACAGTCTACAACATAGATCATGCATTTTGTGATCAATCGGACGCCGGAGATGGAAGACGTTACCTAATTGTAGTCTAGACAAAAGTTGGCTTCGTAAAATTATTGCTATGGAATGCACTCAGTGCACCCAAAATAGTCCCATTCACTTGGTCAAAGTGATTGATTTTTAATTTGGCGACTTTTCTCAAAAGGGTTCAAAGGATACCCATCAGTAGACACTTCAGTCGCTACGTGGAAACCTGAGCGCGAGGAACTGTGACATCATCGTTGCCACATGAAGCTATTGAAAAAGAAACTCTATGGATAGTCTGCTGTGTCGCTGTATGTTTATTAGGTTGCGTTTTCTGTGTAGATTTTTTGGTAGCCCTTATCTCATCGAGGCCATTAGATGCATTCTACTGCCCCTTCGAAATTAAAGTTAATCTGAGTGCACTGTCAGCAGTTGATAATGAGTTAGCGACAAATATGAATGTGGCTCGGTGCGACCTGCCTATCACGCTCATGATTCCACTGGAGAGGCCGGACTAAGCATATGCTTACCAACTCGCTGGGAGTTGGCCAACACGAAGAAATTGATTGGTCCTAAGTTGGCTCCCTCTGCCTGAGTAAGCTTACCATAAGACTAGTTACCCATGAATCTACCGAATGATGAACTATTCCTACGTGCGCTCTCAGGTTGAATACGCCATCCACACTTTGAAACCTTAGTTGAAGCGCAATCTAGAAGCTCTTGTCACCACAACGCAGGACAACGAAGAATGCCAAGCGCTTAGGCAATCAACGCTACCAGCGAAGGTTGAAGTTCCTGCGAGTTTTCAGCGGACGCCACCGAATGCCGTCCATCGATCTACTGTTAGTTTACCAAATATTGAGTGATCCCAACCACGTACGTCGCCATTTTCTACGACTCAGCCACAACATCAAGTTCAGAGTTAACTGACAGAAACTGGGTGCGCAATTTGGCCGTCTACAATGTCGACGGAATTACCTTTCTCTCCGAGTTTATCAACTCTCAAACTTGCTCTCAAACTCAGTTGTATCCTCTACTACTTTGTCCATTCTCAAAAAACGATTGGAAGTTGCACTTATCTCTAGCACTTCGTTACCTAAATTTCACTATTGTGGATGACATTACGCATGTCATTCTACCGGATTTATGTGCCACGCGGACTCTGTAAGTCAACAATTAGCTAAACCACGTGAGGCTGGTAGTATACTTCGCCCTGCAAGGTCAACCTTGTCCGACCAGAGACGTTATAATCTCGTGATCTTCCATGCGCCGGAGTCCAGTGATCCATCACCCCAAGTGCGCTACGATCACGATGTCGGGATTTTACAGAGTCTAATTGACAGACTCCTTGACGCTGGTGAGGACTCGGTAAAAGTGAGGCAACTTACCCGTCTTGGAAATCAAGGTGATCAACGAAATCGGCGTATGAGAATCCCTTTTGTGGACGAAGCCAGTCCAAGACTGATCATGTCCCGCCTAAGTAGGCTGAAAGGTTTAAAGATCCATGTTCGTCCAGACCTGGACCCAGTAGACAGGGAGCGGCTCAAGTCTGCCATCATTGAGCTGAAAAGACGCACTGGTT